CTGTTATGTCAGTAGTCGCATTGGTTTGATTTTTGGCTTGCTGGTAGGGCGCAGGCACCCACATTCAGTGACCCAGAAAATTTGGCACTCCTGTGAATAGTTTAGTCGCAAAGTGAAGATTCACGGGTAAAAAGCCCCAAACTTGGAGATAGGTTATTATTCAGCTTTCAGCAGCCGTGGGCGAGTTCTTTAGAGAAATGTGGATCTTTTTGTGGGTGCCCTTGTCTATGTCCAGATACACAACGAGATGAGGATGGTCATTGTCATTTTCTGAGCTGCGAACGAACATAAAGGTTAGAAAATGTCGGATTTTGACCATTTGTGCTCACCTTTCAATTTCAACGTACCTCTCTATAAAATGACCCAGCTGTAATGTCAGTAGTCGCATTGGTTTGATTTTTGGTTTGCTGGTAGGGCGCAGGCACCCACATTCAGTGACCCAGAAAATTTGGCACTGCTGTGGATAGTTTAGTCGCAAAGTGAAGATTCACGGGTAAAAAGCCCCAAACTTGGAGATAGGTTATTATTCAGCTTTCAGCAGCCGTGGGCGAGTTCTTTAGAGAAATGTGGGTCTTTTTGTGGGTGCCCTTGTCTATGTCCAGCTACACAACGAGATGAGGATGGTCATTGTCATTTTCTGAGCTGCGAACGGGCAGAAAGGTGAGAAAATGTCGGATTTTGACCATTTGTGCTCACCTTTCAATTTCAACGTACCTCTCTATAAAATGACCCAGCTGTAATTTCAGTAGTCGCATTGGTTTGATTTTTGGTTTGCTGGTCGGGCGCAGGCACCCACATTCAGCGACCGAGAAAATTTGGCACTGCTGTGAATAGTTTAGTCGCAAAGTGAAGATTCACGGGTAAAAAGCCCCAAACTTGGAGATAGGTTATTATTCAGCTTTCAGCAGCCATGGGCGAGTTCTTTCGAGAAATGTGGGTCTTTTTCTGGGTGCCCTTGTCTATGTCCAGCTACACAACGAGATGAGGATGGTCATTGTCATTTTCTGAGCTGCGAACGGGCATAAAGGTTAGAAAATGTCGGATTTTGACCATTTGTGCTCACCTTTCAATTTCAACGTACCTCTCTATAAAATGACCCAGCTGTAATGTCAGTAGTCGCATTGGTTTGATTTTTGGCTTGCTGGTAGGGCGCAGGCACCCACATTCAGTGACCCAGAAAATTTGGCACTCCTGTGAATAGTTTAGTCGCAAAGTGAAGATTCACGGGTAAAAAGCCCCAAACTTGGAGATAGGTTATTATTCAGCTTTCAGCAGCCGTGGGCGAGTTCTTTAGAGAAATGTGGATCTTTTTGTGGGTGCCCTTGTCTATGTCCAGATACACAACGAGATGAGGATGGTCATTGTCATTTTCTGAGCTGCGAACGAACATAACGGTTAGAAAATGTCGGATTTTGACCATTTGTGCTCCCATTTCTATTTCAACGAACCTCTCTATAAAATGACCCAGCTGTAATGTCAGTAGTCGCATTGGTTTGATTTTTGGTTTGCTTGTAGGGCGCAGGCACCCACATTCAGTGACCCAGAAAATTTGGCACTGCTGTGAATAGTTTAGTCGCAAAGTGAAGATTCACGGGTAAAAAGCCCCAAACTTGGAGATAGGTTATTATTCAGCTTTCAGCAGCCGTGGGCGAGTTCTTTCGAGAAATGTGGGTCTTTTTGTGGGTGACCTTGTCTATGTCCAGCTACACAACGAGATGAGGATGGTCATTGTCATTTTCTGAGCTGCGAACGGCCATAAAGGTTAGAAAATGTCGGATTTTGACCATTTGTGCTCACCTTTCAATTTCAACGTACCTCTCTATAAAATGACCCAGCTGTAATGTCAGTAGTCGCATTGGTTTGATTTTTGGTTTGCTGGTAGGGCGCAGGCACCCACATTCAGTGACCCAGAAAATTTGGCACTGTTGTGGATAGTTTAGTCGCAAAGTGAAGATTCACGGGTAAAAAGCCCCAAACTTGGAGATAGGTTATTATTCAGCTTTCAGCAGCCGTGGGCGAGTTCTTTAGAGAAATGTGGGTCTTTTTGTGGGTGCCCTTGTCTATGTCCAGCTACACAACGAGATGAGGATGGTCATTGTCATTTTCTGAGCTGCGAACGGCCATAAAGGTTAGAAAATGTCGGATTTTGACCATTTGTGCTCACCTTTCAATTTCAACGTACCTCTCTATAAAATGACCCAGCTGTTATGTCAGTAGTCGCATTGGTTTGATTTTTGGCTTGCTGGTAGGGCGCAGGCACCCACATTCAGTGACCCAGAAAATTTGGCACTCCTGTGAATAGTTTAGTCGCAAAGTGAAGATTCACGGGTAAAAAGCCCCAAACTTGGAGATAGGTTATTATTCAGCTTTCAGCAGCCGTGGGCGAGTTCTTTAGAGAAATGTGGATCTTTTTGTGGGTGCCCTTGTCTATGTCCAGATACACAACGAGATGAGGATGGTCATTGTCATTTTCTGAGCTGCGAACGAACATAAAGGTTAGAAAATGTCGGATTTTGACCATTTGTGCTCCCATTTCAATTTCAACGAACCTCTCTATAAAATGACCCAGCTGTAATGTCAGTAGTCGCATTGGTTTGATTTTTGGTTTGCTTGTAGGGCGCAGGCACCCACATTCAGTGACCCAGAAAATTTGGCACTGCTGTGAATAGTTTAGTCGCAAAGTGAAGATTCACGGGTAAAAAGCCCCAAACTTGGAGATAGGTTATTATTCAGCTTTCAGCAGCCGTGGGCGAGTTCTTTCGAGAAATGTGGGTCTTTTTGTGGGTGACCTTGTCTATGTCCAGCTACACAACGAGATGAGGATGGTCATTGTCATTTTCTGAGCTGCGAACGGCCATAAAGGTTAGAAAATGTCGGATTTTGACCATTTGTGCTCACCTTTCAATTTCAACGTACCTCTCTATAAAATAACCCAGCTGTAATGTCAGTAGTCGCATTGGTTTGATTTTTGGTTTGCTGGTAGGGCGCAGGCACCCACATTCAGTGACCCAGAAAATTTGGCACTGCTGTGGATAGTTTAGTCGCAAAGTGAAGATTCACGGGTAAAAAGCCCCAAACTTGGAGATAGGTTATTATTCAGCTTTCAGCAGCCGTGGGCGAATTCTTTAGAGAAATGTGGGTCTTTTTCTGTGTGCCCTTGTCTATGTCCAGCTACACAATGAGATGAGGATGGTCATTGTCATTTTCTGAGCTGCGAACGGGCAGAAAGGTGAGAAAATGTCGGATTTTGACCATTTGTGCTCACCTTTCAATTTCAACGTACCCCTCTATAACATGACCCAGCTGTAATGTCAGCAGTCGCATTGGTTTGATTTTTGGTTTGCTTGTAGGGCGCAGGCACCCACATTCAGTGACGGAGAAAATTTGGCACTGCTGTGAATAGTTTAGTCGCAAAGTGAAGATTCACGGGTAAAAAGCCCCAAACTTGGAGATAGGGTATTATTCAGCTTTCAGCAGCCGTGGGCGAGTTCTTTCGAGAAATGTGGGTCTTTTTGTGGGTGCCCTTGTCTATGTCCAGCTGCACAACGAGATGAGGATGGTCATTGTCATTTTCTGAGCTGCGAACAGGCATAAAGGTTAGAAAATATCGGATTTTGACCATTTGTGCTCACCTTTCAATTTCAACGTACCTCTCTACGACATGACCCAGCTGTAATGTCAGTAGTCGCATTGGTTTGATTTTTTGGTTTGCTTGTAGGGCGCAGGCACCCACATTCAGTGACCGAGAAAATTTGGCCCTGCTGTGAATAGTTTAGTCGCAAAGTGAAGATTCACGGGTAAATAGCCCCAAATTTGGAGATAGGTTATTATTCAGCTTTCAGCAGCCGTGGGCGAGTTCTTTAGAGAAATGTGGATCTTTTTGTGGGTGCCCTTGTCTATGTCCAGATACACAACGAGATGAGGATGGTCATTGTCATTTTCTGAGCTGCGAACGAACATAACGGTTAGAAAATGTCGGATTTTGACCATTTGTGCTCCCATTTCAATTTCAACGAACCTCTCTATAAAATGACCCAGCTGTAATGTCAGTAGTCGCATTGGTTTGATTTTTGGTTTGCTTGTAGGGCGCAGGCACCCACATTCAGTGACCCAGAAAATTTGGCACTGCTGTGAATAGTTTAGTCGCAAAGTGAAGATTCACGGGTAAAAAGCCCCAAACTTGGAGATAGGTTATTATTCAGCTTTCAGCAGCCGTGGGCGAGTTCTTTCGAGAAATGTGGGTCTTTTTGTGGGTGACCTTGTCTATGTCCAGCTACACAACGAGATGAGGATGGTCATTGTCATTTTCTGAGCTGGGAACGGGCATAAAGGTTAGAAAATGTCGGATTTTGACCATTTGTTCTCACCTTTCAATTGTGGTGTGTGTGGAGGGGGGGGGGGGGGGAGGGGGAGATATGCAGCTTTCGAACACCAGCGGCCAGGGCCCTAGGATGGGAAACGACGACAGAAGAATAGAGCCCGTACACGCGTACGAGCGTATTGTCTCACCTGTCCTTTCTCGCCCAAAATGTGCCCGGTCGATCGAAGTGCCCGTGACTTCGGGTCCGGATACCCGAGGTGCGAGGTTCATGTATTTCTGTATTTCTGTATTTCTGTTGTTGATTCGTCATGTTCTAGGTGATGATACTAAGCTGGGAATGTGAAGGAGTGCTGCAGAGAAAGAATGAGCTGGATGAGGGTTGACGGAATGTAAACCGTACCTCTATGCACCCGCACGCGCGCATGCACACGCACACACACACACACACACACACACACACACACACACACACACACACGCACACACCTCCCACCACACACGCGTGCACACGTTTCATTTCATCATTTCATGCATGTGCTGTGCTATCGATTTTAAGTGCCCTTGTGTAATTTGTATGTGTGTATTGTGGGGGGGGGGGGCATGCGGTGCATGCTGATGCACTAAAACGAGAGTAAATTATCGTGTCCGTTCCCAGAGGGAACTCGCGACGGCCGCTAACACCCGGTAAACCCACTGCTGCATTGCTATCTAGATAATGACCATGCTGACTTCGTTTTTTCTGTTCTTTCTTTGCATCAACTGCCCTTGGCTATAGTCTGCTGCTCGTTCTTGGAAAGCTTACTACACCGTGCTCAGTGGCCAACTACTCCGCTTTTTCAAAGACAAGAGAGAATTTCAACAGGTACTGATTATGTCATACCTCTGACGTCACGCGGTGGATTTTATCTCTTGGTACCAGAAAGATGCCAGAAAGTCTGTAATGTTTCAGTGTGGTGTGTGGTTGGTCTGTTGGTCTAGGGGTATGATTCTCGCTTAGGGTGCGAGAGGTCCCGGGTTCAAATCCCGGACAGACCCAACTTTTTTCTTCCTTTTCGCTGACGGCTGGTGGCGACGAAAGGATTACATCGTATTACTCATGCAGTATGTCTGGGTCAGATGTGCTGAATGCTATATCCATTTTATTTCTAATTACGGAGCAGTCGGTTTGATTTGCTGTCACGTATTAAAAGCCTGGCAATTGTTTGTTTGATTGTGCAGGACTAGTGTCCAATGTGCTCGTCTCTGAACAATGGTGGAGGCACTGGTATAAGTCTGTATTGTTGTTAGTTGCTTGACTATGACTCTTGCAGAAACCCCATGTAACAGTGGCGTACAAGCTGGCCGCTCATTCTCGCGTGCTTCCTCTGTGTGGTGTGTTGTGTGTGGTGTGTGTATGTGTGTGTGTTGTGTGAGAGTGTGTATGCGCGTGCGTGCACGCGTGTTGTTTGTGTGCATGCGTCACGATGTGTATGTGTGTGTGCTGCTGTGTTTGTACAGCGTAACCCCTCAGCCCCAGCAATCAACATCACAGGCGGCCACTGTGAAGCGGCCACGGATTACACAAAGCGGAAAACGTGCTGCGGCTAAAGTAAGCCGCTTTGCCGTGTGTACCCTTCAGCACTGGTGAATTCCGGTTTGCAGGGTTTTTGTTTAGAGCATTGCGTATCACACTGTGACGGTGGGTGCTTGTACACCAGGGTGGTGGGGGACTGGAACATGAAGTAATCTGGGTTTGTCTGCCGGATTACCGTTCTGGTTGCCCTTGGGTCACTTTATGCACACGTGGCATTGCTGTCTGAACCGTATTGGGGTAAACAAAATTCATGACTGTGATGGCATTCGTGTGTTGCACAGACTGCGAATCGTATAGAAGTGCTAATACGTGTGTGTTTGTGTGTATGTGTGTGCGTGCGCGTGAGCGTGCGTGAGCGTGTGCGTGTGTGTATGTGTGTGTACATGTGTTTGTACATGTATGCATGCATATGTGCATGCCTCGTACATGTGTGTGTATGTGTGTGTACGTATGCGTACGTGTTTATGCGTGTGTGGGCATATGCTTGTGCCTACTTGTGTGTGTATGTGTGTGTATGTGTGTGTACCGCAATGTCTGTGTGTAGACTTCACAACGGAGCAGAATACCTATTTTTGGCCAACGACGGTGCAGAACGGCAACAGTGGGTCAGCAAGTTGCAGTTGATGGCTGGTATGTTTTTAAACACACTCACCCTATTACCGTGACGACAGTGTGGTGCATCAAGTTAACAACTTAGCATTTCTTCTGACCCCAGCGTTGTGTTTGACCTCTATCTAGTGCAGTAAAACCTGTGTTTGCTGGACCCTGTACCAAGCGGAATCCTGTATTGACCAGACTCTGTACCAAGCGGAATCCTGCATTGACCGGACAAATTTTCATGCACGAAAGTGCTTTGGATCGAACGTGCATCCCAGGAGCAAGCGGAATCCTGTTATATCAGTTTCCGCTGCCCTAAGGGCATCCGGTCTCCATTCATTGCTTCTGTTGAATAACTTGTATGTCGGTGTCCGTTCTCTCTCTCTCTCTCTCTCTCTCACTCACTCTCTCTCTCTCTCCTATCTGCTGGTGTAGCACAAGGGAAGACAGACAGCGATGGCGATGATGACGGTACGTGAATTCACTCTCTCACACATGCTCTCCTAAACCAGACTGTACAACTCTGCATGAGTTGGAAAAGCGGGATCCATCATTTGCATAGTTTTCATGACTGATCCGAAGGCAGATCCGCAACTACTGTCTAGTGTCACATCAGTACGACACGTGGCATCAATATTTACCATGTTTTGACATCTACAATGACGTACACAACGAATAGCGGTGTCCTAGACCAATCTTTGTAGTTGCCCGGATTAGGGGTGTCCATATAAGGAGAGTTTTTACTGTACATCCAGTTTTTAGAGGCCTGTGCCAGTGGAAATGCAAAAAAGGTTACGAAGTTTTTAGAAAAAAAAGGTTGTGAAGTGTTTAGAAAAGGAATACAATGTTACTTCTACACCATGGCTCGTATTGCTGATGCTAAATTTGCTCTTTTCCTTTCCATAGAGGACAGAAGTGGATATTTTCTAAAGTTGGGCATGGGCAATGCCAGTTTGGATTTGAACTGTGTGGAATCCTGCTGGTCTGTGTAGGTTGTTTGGTTGAGTAGCTTGTTCAGGGACAGTTAGCAATGTATTCTTCTTGTAGGTGGCCTGTTGGTCTAGGGGTATGATTCTCGCTTTGGGTGCGAGAGGTCCCGGGTTCAAATCCCGGACAGGCCCAAATTTTTTCCTGTTCTGCTCCAGTCCACTGCATCGTTTTGGTAAGGAGAGCTGTGGTCGTGTGTGCAAACTGGTTTGAATAATCGCAACCAGCCTCATGCATGCTTTTTTCTTCTCACGCTTGCCTTTGTACCCGACTGACTCACGACTGCCAACACAAACACTTATTTGTATTCCACTCCGATTTTTGTCTTGTCTGTCTGCTTGCCTCACAGATCTACCCGGGGTCTCCCCTGGTCGGTTCAGCGCTGCTCTGGCATCACCAAGTTCACCCACAACCCCCGTGACACCACTCTCGGCTTCTCTACCGGCGTCTGCATACCTTTCACACCAACATCAGCAACAACAACAGCAACAACAGCACAGATCTGCGTCACCACAGCACAGGTCAATCTCACCGTTAGCAGAGAGTCTGCCGTCCACATCACCCCTAAGTGCTGGCGGTCCTGGTGGTGGTCCTGGTGGTGGTGGAAGTGCTGGTGGAGCTAGCGATACTCAGGTATGGGCGTGATGCTGTTGGCTTCTGAAGGGATCATGGTGGGGGGGGGGGTTGCTAGAGTGACATGGGAGGGGGGGGGGTGGAAGTTGTGAACAATATGCTTGGAGAAGGGGGTTGTGTGTGTGCGGGGGGGGGGGGGGGGAGAGATACTGATTGTTTGTAAAGGTGAACCTGAAAAAGAAGAGGGGAAGGGGGGGGGGCATTGGGTGATGACCGCAGTGAACAATAGTACCGCGGTGCTCAATGAAATCCTCAGCAGTATTAAGGGCACGATGACACGATTTGCCCCCAGCGTGACGATTTGGTGACACCGGACGAATAGATCACGAACAGCACAGGAGACAATTATGATAATTCTACGTTGTGTTTGCATAATCCAAGGGAGTCCTAAAACAACCACTGGCTTCCAACTACCAAGGGAAAAGCAAGCCCTTTTCTCCAAGGGACAAAACAGCAAAAGGAGCCAGCCAGCCAGTAAAGGATACGGGAAAATACAAGTGGAACACTACGACGTTTGGACTTGGCACGACACACCCGCTCAAATGCCCCTTTTCGGTGACAGTACCAGCATCGGGTCTGCTTGTGCTGACACCTGTCAGCTAAGTGCCTTCTCATGATGCTCCGTACTCTTAAGCCCTTGCACGGAGTCCTCATACGACATGTTGGGTTGAGAGTTCCGTACAGCATTTCTCGTACCTGCTGTACCTGGGCAGTCTTTGGCCAGATGGCTAGAGATGCTGCAGCGTTAACACGTTTGAAATTGGACTTTGTGTCATACTCTTACGGTACGGGAACCCACTCGCAAACTAGAAGGCACGGCCTTCCTCAGGGAAACTTTGACATACCTGGTCCCGGTGTCAACTGCAAAGCCCTCATGGCTAACAACCTTCCTCTTTGGAGGACCGTGTACCTGACCATAGAGTGAAATTTCATGCGCAAGAGCAGCATCTTGCAATGACAGGGGGCATCCGAATGCATGGAGAGTAGTAACTGACATGCCTCGCATTACAACTTCAACACTTTTACTGACGAATACGAAATCCTCCTCAGACGTCAAGAGGCGGTCGCGCACTCCGTGGGTGACGATGGTGACATTGCAGCAGCCGGGTTTGCTGTTTAGGTCCAATTGGCTGAGTTCGGAGGGCTAAACACCCAGTCTAGACTGCTCTTTGATAAGCAACGGTAATGAGTGCTCAGAAGATGGAGACGGTGAAATGGATGTGGTGTGAGAGGCCTTGAAGGTGCTCGTCGTATCGCTGGACTTCTTTGGAGGGCAAAGGCGATCTGCCGCTTCGTGTGCAGCAATGTATGCTCCTATAGCGTCTCTCAAGTCCCGACAGGTCCACAGCGTTGGGCCCTTTTTTAACTCAAGGGCCACAAGTGTGGCACGTGGAAGCTTGCTAGTGATGATAGAGACGATAACACCCGAATCAATCTTTTCGCCGAGAGCATCGAGGCTACGCAAGTGGATTTCTAATTGGTCACACAACTTGCGTAAGGAGGTCGTGGTGTTTGATGCTGACGGCAAGTCAAGCATTGAAGTGTAATGAGAATCAACTAGTACTTGTTTAGTATCGAATCTGTCGCGAAGGATGTCCAGCGCAACAGTGTCATTTGTGTTGGACAACGGTAGGCCGGAGATGGCGTCATGGGCCAACCCAGTAACGTGATCTTTGAGGTAGGTCAGTTTTTGGATGTCTGACAGTTCCTTGTTATTGTCAATTGAGGACATGAACATGTCATGGAACTCACTTCATTTCAAGAAATCTCCAGAAAATTTGGAAATTACAAATTTTGGTAACTTGACAGAAGTTGTAGGTGTTGTAGTGCGAGGCTGAGACTGAGATTGTAGCGTGTTGAGGAGAGCTGTCTGTTGTTGCACGGGCTGTGATTGTGTTTGAGCCATGGGCTTGTGTTGTTCTTGTGTGACAGATAGCAGTTTTGTTGCGGTAGCGTGCAGTGAAGCCGAGGCTAAGGCATGTTGATCGTGTGAGTCTGGGTCGCTAGAGCCAGCTGTGTTTCCGATCGCGCTAGGCGATGATGTGAGCAACGTGCGTTTGAGGGCAGTGACTGTGGAGTGTACAGATGATGAGCACTTTACACAATCGTCTACCTCAGCTTCAACCTCTTCTTTAGAGATACCCAGATTCTAAGGAACCAAAAATCTCAGCTAAACTACCGCAAAAATCGTCATATGCTAACAAGGAAGATTCTAAAACACAGCACAAGAAACTTAGCTTTTGCAAGGTGTACGGATCGGGAGATGCAGCATCGATGGTGGTGCGCAGAGCAGAGGCTTCTTTGATGTCTATCGGAATGGCCACTTGCTGCGCCTGCACCTGCCTACGTCTGAGGAACAAGTCCCGACGGGCGTCTTATCCTTCTTCGCTGGCATCTACTTAGTAATGTTTTGGCACCAGTTTGTCGTCGTTGTCATCGCATCGACAATACCTTTTTTGTCTTTTAATATTGCTATCGATGTAGCCCTGAGGCACTGTTTAGAGCATGAAAACTGGTCTCTACTCTAAGAAGAGACACGAAGAAGACTAGAGAAAATCTGCTTGTAGAGCAGCAAAATGTAAAGTCGGCAATTCTCGCTGGAAACAGAGCTACATTCGGATCACTGGATCCATACTAGGCTCACGCGATTCCTCAGGGGTTAACACGGAGGCAGAAATAGACATGTGTGTATACATAGGAGAGCAAGGGACGTGCACCGCGAGCTGTAGCAGCCAGAAACGGATACGTGCGCAAAGGGGGGGGGGGGGCACACCGCGACATATGCACGGCAGCCAGAAATGGGTACATGCATACAACGGAGAGCAAGGGGAGCACACTGCGACATGCACAGCAGCTAGAAATGGGCATGTGCATACAAAGGGGAGCCCTTTGGTGCCAAAAAAAGGGGCACAGAAATGGTCACGACTCATGTAGGGTACCCTGTAAAAAGGCTTTAGGCCTGTGGGACGGGGATTGCCCTATTCAAAATTTAAATAATAAAGATTATAATAATAATGTTTCGAAATACCTTTTACCCTTATAAATTATACCCTTTCTTACAAAATAATGTTCATGACAAAAGAAATATGTGGTCAATCCTTGTGGACCCCAAATGTACAGGACGCAAGAGCATGAGCTCCCAAAGTGCTCCTGTCCTCCATCGTACAAAGCGGTATTGTTATTATCATTAGTAGCTGCCATGCACGGACACACAGGAGAGGAGACCACACAGCAGGAGTGCAGGGGCAAGCCTGGGGAGGGGGTGCAGGGGCAGGGCAGGGGTGCAGGGGCAGAGCAGGGGCAGGGGAGGGGTGCAGGGCCAGGGCAGGGGAAGGGTACATACTACATAGTGAAGAAGAAGCACGTGCCACAGGAATGGCAATAAAAATGGTCATGTGACGGGGCAGACAACTCAAATAGCACGGTACCAGTTCATCCATTACTAGTGTCCCCGTTTAGTGTTCACATGGGCAGTCTCATTTCCATATTGTTCATGTGCAGGCCTGTTGGTCTCAGGGTATGATTCTCGCTTTGGGTGCGAGAGGTCCCGGGTTCAAATCCCGGACAGCCCAATTTTTATTTTATTATTGCTAAAATCTGCTACAGTTTATATGCTGTCAAACGTAGACCAAATTTTGCGACTCAGCATTTGAATACATGTGTGCTGCTGCATGGAACCAATTCCGCGGAGAAGTTGTTTTATTAGGTTGTCATGAATCCTAGGATATCCATCCCGTCACGATCGACCGTAGGTTGCCAAATCACTGCATCACCAAGGCGATATCGAAAAAAAAATCGCGTGCACCCTTTGTGATTGCACATCGCCAGCATTGCCATACAGTGTTGTGTACTTTATTTATAGTGGGAATTCAAAACAGGCATAGGTCTAATAAAAATGGACCCTTTGGTGATAGGGTGGAAGAGCCATGTAAGCCGGTGTGAGATGCAGCAAACATGACTCACTATGACCTTTAAAATAACAGAAACATTGCCATGAGCTCTGTCTATTATTGACATCCATTTGCGGTGGTGTCCCCTACCAGTATGGAGAGTGTCGAATGTTGCTTGCCGAATCCCTCTTCTTACTTTCTTCTTGTTTCATTTTATTTCCTTCTCTCGTGTGGGTCTATTGTGATTGGGCAGATGTCTGTTATCGTCACCACTATAAATAAAATCCGATCCAATCCACCACTGTGCAGATTCTGCAAAGCCAATAAGGCAATATGAACGGCCTCAGCTACAGCTCCACTGGGTAGTTTTCACATGGGGAGTATCGTTTCTAGTATGTTCGTGAGCAGGCCTGTTGGTCTAGGGGTATGATTCTCGCTTTGGGTGCGAGAGGTCCCGGGTTCAAATCCCGGACAGGCCCATTTTTTAAATTTTTTTCCCCGGCAGCATAACGTGAGAATGTGTTCGACTGCATGTGCGTGCGTGTATGCTTTTGCAGAGACTCTCACACGACTCCCCGTCATCATTACGGCCCAGCATGGATACCGGATCAAGTCCAATGTCGCACGTGCCACCACCCTCAGCGGCCCCAGCAGCAGGCAGCAGTGCACCGGGGGTGAGCCGAGGGGGTACTTCACCATTGCAGCACACACCCTCACAGTCACATGCACAGCCACCACCATCCTCTGCTGCCAGTGCAACAGCAGGTAGTAGTGCTGCGAGCGGCTCACAGTGGCCCAGCACAAAACAAGTAGCATCATCGGCACCGCCGGCCACAGCAGCAGCAGCAGCAGCGGCAGAAGCAGGTACTCCAGCGGACGGTGGTAAACCCGGTGTCGCTGATGTTGCTGCTCTGGCACTGGACAGTCGCAAGAAGAAAGGCCGGCTTGGCTCCATATTTGGACGCAAGGATAAGAAGTAAATCCAATGTCGGACAGGCCCGGTACTGGAACAAGACCAACATTTGTCTAGTAACTGTTTTCCCTTCTTTTCTACCGCTTCTGGTAGAATATTTTAATAGATTTTTTTATCACCAACTATATTTCCCTCAACCAGTGAAAAAATATTTTTATTCGCCGTCTGCTTGCATCTTCCCAGTGCAATGTTGTGTCCACTTCTCTGTAGAATCATGTTGGCTTTCCTCCTCCGTTACTTGTATTGCGCCGCAGTGTACTCACGGCTGGCCCTGTGCTGGCCCTCAGTGCTGCTGACGTTTCGTAGCTTGCTCTTTTTTGCATTTCCCCAGGCTCGAGTGGGTATTCTCATTTTCATTCTATGCTACTTCTTTCATGTCAGCGAATACCTGTTATGTTCAACAGCTCTGTTGATTGTAGTTTCCAAGCAGTGACTGGAAAGCTGGTCTACGGAGTCCTCTGTTGCTGGTGCTAATCAGGGAATCGTATCTTTATGACTCCCCGGTGCCAATCAATTCAATGCCAGTGTGGTCCTCTGGTGATTGGGGGGGGGGGGGGAGGAGAGATAGGACGGGAGTGGTGGCCCCTATGGGCTATGGGCTATGGGCCCATGGACAGGTTTTCATGGCTCTGCATCTACCGCTGCTACAACATGCACTCATACTGAGTCATAGAACTCCCTTGTTTGTGATGCGGGGTAGGGACCGGCGGATTCTGCTCGAAAAGGTGGCAGATTCTGCTCGAAAAGCAGTGGAATTGGCAGAACCATACAAACCTTATGGCGGGCAATTCCTCGAATTCTGCTCCATTTTTTTAATACCAAACATGCATGAAACTTACCAGAAAAAGTACCGAATTCTGCCAATTTTTCTGCCGGCAGAATCCGCCGGACCCTAATGCAGGGCAGTGTGGAGCAGCCCCATGCCAGAGTACACAACTCTCTGGGCCCTGATGATCCGTGACTGTACACCGATTGCGGTAAAAAATATATAAAAAAAGTAAATTATCGTGTCCGTTCCGGAAGGGAACTCACGACGGCCGCTAACACCCGGTAAACCCTTGCGGTGGCAATTGAAATTTGCATGGTCTTGTAATCGAAAAGTCGCTGTTTTCGGTCCTTTCACAAGTGCGTTTTCGTTCGATTATAAGACCATGGTCTTATAATTATGCGAGGGACAAGCATCGCATCGCATCGACATGTACATGTGCAAGTACGCATACCAATGGTGAATGCCAGTACAATGGAACCATGATGAACCTTGTGTGGTCGTCCGATCAGATCAACCACCTCCACGTAGATCTACTACGTGTGACGTAGCTATTCCAAACTCTTCGAAACTAATCCACCTCTCCCATCGGATGAGGTTGTGGAGTTTCGAGGAGCTTCGTTTTTCTGAAGAGGCCAATAAGGCCACCTCTTCAGTAAAACGAAACTCCTCGAAAAGTCAATGAGTGACAATTCGAACGCGCTTTTAGTATGTAACGAACCTGCTGGTGGAGTGATCTAACGAAAGATTTCGTAAACGAAAATTTGTACTTTAGAAAGTTTAGTTATGCAGTATACTTTACAAGGTAACGAAACTCAAAAAAAGACGAAAGCCTGAACTGGATAATTTTGTGGTGTGCTTTTGTATCTAAGCAAAGTCATGTTGTCAAGAACTTCATTCTTGGCAGAAGAAGAACTGGAACTGTGCGCGCATCGTGGCATAGTGCGCTATGGAACGGCCCTTGACATAAGAAGTCAGTAGGTAGCGGTTGATGGGGAGATACAGATCGTCACCATTGCAGGCTCTGTACGCTAGATATAAAACATCAGATGAATTTCTTGCCGATGGATGTGGTTCATGTTCATTCTTGGAATGCTGAGTCAAGATCGATGCTAAATGCTGAAAACAATGCAAAGTGTCCCTGCGTTTACGTTAGCAGCTGGACAAGTGCAAGACAGCAGGAAACCAGAGGCATTTGATTGGAAACTTCGCTCGTAAACTCAGACTGAGCAGAAGTTTTGACCAGCCTAAGTCAGGTAAGTGAAGAATTGAGGAAACTGCATGATGATATCTTGGACTGGGATCTTACCACGTGATAATATCATGGCCATTGTGCAGTGACTGTCTGGATGAAAGACCGTGTGCGCTGAGGACGGACATGATGGAAGGAAGATGTCAAATTCTGCCCAAAATTGACGTAGCTGTGGCAACCTGTACACCTCAGTGTTAGGTGCACTGATGAGTGGTGAAGCTGACTAGTCATACCTGAAGAGACTGGGATCTAGGAATGGCTCGCAATGTATTCGAAGACGGCCATAATCGTGCAGGGCTGTCCGGGCACAGCCAGTGTCTAGGACAGTGCAGCGACTGGTGTGAGTGCATCGCTAAAGTCGAAGAGAGCCACCCACTGTCTGAAGGTGAGTTGCCGTATTTTCCGTGGTTTGGTCGTAAAGTCCGGAGCCACCAGCGAAACCCCCCAACTTTTTAAAAGATACCGGTAGGTTAATTTCAGCTTTCAGCCGCTCTACGCAAGTTGTTTGGAGTAATGACACTCTTTTCAAGTCTTTTCTTCTGTGCACTACCCTTTACCCAGCTATTGGAGGAAATTAGGATGGCTCGGTCAGTCTTTGAGCTATGAATGGACGGAATGGTGTTAAGGAGGCTCCCACCTAAAGACGTAAAAATAAAAGGTCCATGGACACCCTGTTTTTATGCATAGAATGGTGGAGTGATGTCTCTTCTTCAATTTGGTATAGTTTTTAGGTAGGGTCACCAGGCATATAAGAGGTATTCCGGTGTATTTAGTTAGTGTACAATTTCTTGATTTTCGGAAAAAAATGGTAAAACAATTTGGTTTTTAACCCAAAGAAGCCTCCTGGAAGGAGGATACTAAGCATTTTCTTCATCCTGTGTTTAAGAACCACATTTGGAGGTATCTTGGCTACACAAGATAGACTGTGTCTTGGTTTTGCCCTTGGCGAGCCATTTTTTTTCGAAATTATGGGTACTGAAATTTCCATCGGGTGCTGAATTGTGAAAATGGTTCAGCCTGCAACATTTTGTCCATGGACATATTGATTTTTGTGGCTTTCTGTGATCCTTGAGCCCAAGGAAACCGATAATGGACAGTTTTGATGGTGTTACCAGGCACTTTAGACCCCTACCAAACAGTATAGGTATCAAAATATGGTATTTTTAGACCAATTCTGAAAATAGCATTTTTAGAAAATCTGACCATTCTTGCCTTCTTGACTAAATATCACTACCAATGACATGGTACACGGCTGTCAAGAAGCGGCAACTTAGACAGATGGCGTCGGTTCGAGATGGCATGGTAACCGCGCACGTGCCGTGGTTCGTGACTTGCTCATGTATGCACGCAAATGCAAGTCACAAACTCACAAAGATCGTCTTTGCATTTGGAGAAAATATCTTCGACTCTTGTTGGAGGTTGGCGAGGTTTGCCTAATCTTTATTTGATTGCGATGCTGGTATGTCCTCTCAATAATTAGAACAAAGAGAGCTGATGATCGCTTCATTGCTGAGCAGAAGTAACAATCAACTCTCCTCAGGTCCTCAGTGGCAAAGGCAGACAGACACTGCAATTCCACAACGCTCATTTCACGATGATGGAAACAATAATAATTCACACTTGGACAATTTGGTCATCCCTATTCTAGCAGCTAGTCCGCCCAGCAAGCAGATATTGACTATTACGATAAGGAGAAATGCGTGAACGAGAGCTCGCCCAGCAAATACAATTCAAGTCGTGACTCCAGTCAAGAATTAGGGTCTTACTCGAGAACTTCACAAATACAGGCCTAGGCACCCCACAAAACTGATAGGTGGCACGAACGAAAGACAAATAGGCTAGACAAAGTGTCCCAAGTGACTGAAAACAGCAGATCTACCAAATAACACAGCTACAGGTGCCTAAACAACGATTCCAATACAGTAGAGAGTAGTATCAGGCAGAATGAAAGCCTTGGAAGTGCACAAATATAGCCACGACCGCCACGAAAAAATTCTCATTGCTCTACCTCTTTGAAGGGTGAAAGTTACCAGTTATCCTATAGCGATGTCAGTTTATGCCTGTTGGAATCCCCCACAGCCCGCACGAAATACCTTTCAAATAATTCCAGGATGCAATTGCAGCTCCAGACAGGAGGAAGAAGAACACCGTGAAAAAGAACGGCAACGATGCCCAAACTCTCGGGATACGGCTGAAGTCTCCCTGAAGATGTTAACATTGAATAGCCATCGATTACCAGCGTGGTTTGGTGACTTTAGAACTGTTTTGAGACTTAGAACGAAGCGATATCTCAAATTTGATGGAATTGTTACCTGTCAAATGCGTGGGCGAGCAGGCCAGCTGACTGGTTATGCATGAGCATGCATTGATTTTTCATGGTTCACGTGCAGAAAACTAAGTTGCCGCGATCCAAGTGCAGCTAACAGCCGTGGGTAGTATGGTAATATTATTTTAGAAGAAGTTATTTTCATGCTGCAACCTCCTTTGGACATACCAGACAGTCTGTGCTTGGAAAGGTACATGTATCATTACATGTATGTCATGTAGCCTTCAGACCTAGCACATTGATATACAAGTAGTGTACATGACTGTACATGTCAGGCAGCGAGGTTTCATAACAACCTCGACCATGAAACTGGCACATGAATAATGTGAAAGCAGGCATTCAAACAAGGCACAGTAAACACTCACACACGTGCGTGCGCACGCACATAAACACCAGATCAACATTGCGAACCCACACATGCGGGCACGAGCACGCGCGCGCACACACACACACATGCGTACACACACACACACTCATACACCTGCCCAACGCTGAAGCGAGGATAGCGAACAAACTACGTTATACATACATGTAGCAACTTGTGCTCGGATTACACCTTTCAACAGCTTGCACACACACACACACACACACACACGCGCGCGCATGCGCGCACGTACACACACACGCGCGCGTGCGCGCGCGAGTACACATACACACACGCGCGCGCGCACGCACGTGCACACACACACACGCGCGTGCGCGTGAGTATACACACACACACGCGCGTGCGCGCACGCGCGTACACACAAACGCATGTACTTGCGCATAGGAAAGGATTCAAAATAATCAACCATAGGCATTTACCCAATACACACCTGAGTGTGCACATCTTAGTTGTGGCATCCCCATTTTTACAAAACTAGGATTTAGAAGTTCGTCCCTGGTTCAGAACACAAGCTTCTGGTCAGCGTTTTCCTTACACCATCAGCGCAGTACAGTGGTTGACACGAACCTCATTCCTACAGGGACAGTAGCCCAAGTTCAGCAGCTCTGAGATGCGTCGTCCACTGAGCTCAGGATACTTAAGGATCCACAGAAAGTTTCAAACGGCACTCGTGCGACTGGAGCTGCAAGTGGGTCCACTTACCAGCGAGTGGGCAGCCACTTCACGCTCCACAGGTAGTCCATGCTAAATTCCAGTACAAGTACTAGTATCACTACGTTCGACATCGATGTCTTCACTGACTTCAGCCTGCTTTTCTCACCCTTCTTCGTCAGTAATATATTTGTTCTTCGTGGCCACCACGTACCCCTTCAACAAAGTTTTCACAAAAAATCAAGCAGCGTAGGAATTAACTGCCTTTGTTTTGCATTAGCCATGGCCAGTGATTCTTTCCAGCGTAGAAACAGCCACGGCTACAGGAACACTGCAACGAGTAAAACTACATCCTGGAACAACAGCGAGCACAGAGAAATCAAACAAATTCTTTCTGAACAACAGTTTGTTTCCGCATGGAACACGACATTTTTTGAATCTCGCGGCAAAAAACAGATTTCGGAGGTGCCCTTTTTACACTGCGCTGCGCAACTGTTCGGAGCCTCCTTAATTTGTGAATTTTTGACGACTTGCGTCAATACTCATACTCAGAGATACGTTGAAAGTGACACGTGGGCACAAATGGTCAAGAAGCGACAATTTCTCCCCTTTCTGCCCGTTCGAAGCTCAACAACTGACCATCGCCACCCTGATCTTGTTGTATAGCAGGACATAGGAAAGAGCACCAAGAAAAATTCCACATTTGAATAAACACTTCGCCCAGGGCTGCTCAAAGCTGAAATCAACTTATCTCGAAGTTTTGGGCCTTTTTGCCCGTGATTCTTCACTTTGCGACTAAACTATTCACAGGAGTGCCAAATTTTCGGCGTCACTGAATGTGGTTGCCAGCGGCCCACAAGCAAACCAAAACGATCAAATCAATGGGACCACTCATATCACAGCTGGGTCATGTTATAGAGAGGTACGTTGAAAGTGACACGTGGGCAGAAATGGTCAAAAAGCGACAATTTCTCACCTTTCTGCCCGTTCGAAACTCAAGAACTGACCATCGCCACCCTAATCTTGTTGTATAGCTGGACATAGGGTAGTGCACCAAGAAAAATTTCCACATTTCAATAAACACTTCGCCCAGGGCTGCTCAAAGCAGAAATCAACCTATCTCGAAGTTTTGAGCCTTTTTGCCCATGATTCTTCACTTTGCGACTAAACTATTCACAGCAGTGCCAAATATCAGGCGTCACTGAATGCGGGTGCCAGCGGCCTACAAGCCAACCAAAAATCATATCAATGCGACCACTCACATCACAGCTGGGTCACGTTATAGAGAGGTACGTTGAAAGTGACACGTGGGCACAAATGGTCAAAAAGCGACAATTTCTCACCTTTCTGCCCGTTCGAAGCTCAAGAACTGACCGTCGCCACCCCAATCTTGATTCTTCACTTTGCAACTAGACTATTCACCTCAGTGGCAAATATCAGGCGTCACTGAATGCGGGTGCCAGCGGCCTACAAGCCAACCAAAAATCAAATGAATGTGACCACGCACAGCACAGCTGGGTCATGTTATAGAGACGTACGTTGAAAGTGACACGTGGGCACAAATGGTCAAGAAGCGACAATTTCTCACCTTTCTGCCTGTTCGAAGATCTGGAACTGACCATCGCCACCCTGATCTTGTTGTATAGCTGGACATAGGGAAGTGCAGCAAGACAAAATTCCACATTTCAATAAACACGCCGCCCAGGGTTGCTCAAAGCTGAAATCAACCTATCTCAAAGTGTTGGGCCTTTTTGCCCGTGATTCTTCACTTTGCGACTAGACTATTCACCTCAGTGCCAAATATCAGGCGTCACTGAATGCGGGTGCCAGCGGCCTACAAGCCAACCAAAAATCAAATGAATGTGACCACGCACAGCACAGCTGGGTCATGTTATAGAGAGGTACGTTGAAAGTGACACGTGGGCACAAATGGTCAAGAAGCGACAATTTCTCACCTTTCTGCCCGTTCGAAGATCAGGAACTGACCATCGCCACCCTGATCTTGTTGTATAGCTGGACATAGGGAAGTGCAGGAAGACAAAATTCCACATTTCAATAAACACTTCGCCCAGGGTTGCTCAAAGCTGTAATCAACTTATCTCAAAGTTTTGGGCCTTTTTGCCCGTGATTCTTCCCTTTGTGACTAAAATATTCCCAGGAGTGCCAGATATCAGGCGTCACTGAATGCGGGTGCCAGCGGCTTACAAGCAAACCAAAAATCAAATCAATGCGACCACTCACATCACAGCTGGGTCATGTTATAGAGAGGTACGTCGAAAGTGACACATGGGCGCAAATGGTCAAAAAGCGACAATTTCTCACCTTTCTGCCCGTTCGAAGCTCAAGAACTGAGTTATAGAGAGGTCCGTCGAAAGTGACACATGGGCGCAAATGGTCAAAAAGCGACAATTTCTCACGTTTCTGCCCATTCGAAGCTCAAGAACTGACCGTCGCCACCCCGATCTTGTTGTATAGCTGGACATAGGGAAGTGCACCAAGACAAAATTCCACATTTCAATAAACACTTCGCCCAGGGCTGCTCAAAGCTGAAATCAACCTATGTCGAAGTTTTGGGCCTTTTTGCCCGTGATTCTTCACTTTGCGACTAGACTATTCACCTCAGTGCCAAATGTTCGACGTCACTGAATGCGGGTGCCAGCGGCCTACAAGCCAACCAAAAATCAAATCAATGTGACCACTCACAGCACAGCTGTGTCATGTTATAGAGAGGTACGTCGAAAGTGACACAAGGGCACAAATGGTCAAAAAGCGACAATTTCTCACCTTTCTGCCCGTTCGAAGCTCAAGAACTGACCGTTGCCACCCCGATCTTGTTGTATAGCTGGACATAGGGAAGTGCACCAAGACAAAATTCCACATTTGAATAAACACTTCGCCCAGGGCTGCTCAAAGCTGAAATCAAACTATCTCGAAGTTTTGGGCCTTTTTGCCCGTGATTCTTCACTTTGCGACTAGACTATTCGCCTCAGTGCCAAATTTTCGCCGTCACTGAATGCGGGTGCCAGCGGCCTACAAGCCAACCAAAAATCAAATCAATGGAACCACTCACATCACAGCTGGGTCATGTTATAAAGAGGTACGTTGAAATTGAAAGGTGAGTACAAATGGTCAAAATCCGACATTTTCTCACCTTTATGCCCGTTCGCAGCTCAGAAAATGACAATGACCATCCTCATCTTGTTGTGTAGCTGGACATAGACAAGGGCACCCACAAAAAGACTCACATTTCTCTAAAGAACTCGCCCACGGCTGCTGAAAGCTGAATAATAACCTATCACCAAGTTCGGGGCTTTTTACCCTTGCATCTTCACTTTGCGACTAAACTATTCACAGCAGTGCCAAATTTTCTCAGTCACTGAATGTGGGTGCCTGCGCCCTACAACCAAACCAAAAATCAAACCAATGCGACTACTGACATTACAGCTGGATCATGTCGTAGAGAGGTACGTTGAAATTGAAAGGTGAGCACAAATGGTCAAAATCCGACATTTTCTAACCTTTATTCCCGTCTGCAGCTCAGAAAATGACAATGACCATCCTCATCTCGTTTTGTAGCTGGACATAGACAAGGGTACCCAGAAAAAGACCCACATTTCTCTTAAGAACTCGCCCACGGCTGCTGAAAGCTGAATAATAACCTATCACCAAATTCGCGGCTTTTTACCCGTGAATCTTCACTTTGTGACTAAACTATTCACAGCAGTGCCAAATTTTCTGGGTCACTGAATGTGGGTGCCTGCGCCCTGAAAGAAACCAAAAATCAAACCAATGCGACTACTGACAATACAGCCAGATCATGTCATAGAGGTACGTTGAAATTGAAAGGTGAGCACAAATGGTCAAAATCCGACATTTTCTAACCTTTATGCCCGTTCGCAGCTCAGAAAATGACAATGACCATCCTCATCTCGTTGTGTAGCTGGACATAGACAAGGGCACCCAGAAAAAGACCCACATTTCTCTAAAGAACTCGCCCACGGCTGCTGAAAGCTGAATAATAACCTATCTCCAAGTTTGGGGCTTTTTACCCGTGAATCTTCACTTTGAGACTAAACTATTCACAGCAGTGCCAAATTTTCTGGGTCACTGAATGTGGGTGCCTGCGCCCTACAAGCAAACCAAAAATCAAACCTACGTTGAAATTGAAAGGTGAGCACAAATGGTCAAAATCCGATTTGTGCTCAAGTTTCAATTTCAACGTACCTCTCTATAAAATGACCCAGCTGTAATGTCAATAGTCGCATTGGTTTGGTTTTTGGTTTGCTTGTACGGCGCAGGCACCCACATTCAGTGACCCAGAAAATTTGGCACTGCTGTGAATAGTTTAGTCGCAAAGTGAAGATTCACGGGTAAAAAGCCCCAAACTTGGAGATAGGTTATTATTCAGCTTTCAGCAGCCGTGGGCGAGTTTTGTTTAGAGATATGCGGGTCTTTTCTTGTGTGCCCTTGTCTATGTCCAGCTACACAACGAGATGAGGATGGTCATTGTCATTTTCTGAGCTGCGAACGAACATAAAGGTTAGAAAATGTCGGATTTTGACCATTTGTGCTCCCATTTCAATTTCAACGAACCTCTCTATAAAATGACCCAGCTGTAATGTCAGTAGTCGCAATGGTTTGATTTTTGGTTTGCTTGTAGGGCGCAGGCACCCACATTCAGTGACCCAGAAAATTTGGCACTGCTGTGAATAGTTTAGTCGCAAAGTGAAGATTCACGGGTAAAAAGCCCCCAACTTGGAGATAGGTTATTATTCAGCTTTCAGCAGCCGTGGGCGAGCTCTTTAGAGAAATGTGGGTCTTTTTCTGGGCGCCCTTGTCTATCTCCAGCTACACAACGAGATGAGGATGGTCATTGTCGTTTTCTGAGCTGCGAACGGGCAGAAAGGTGAGAAAATGTCGGATTTTGACCATTTGTGCTCGCCTTTCAATTTCAACGTACCTCTCTATAACATGACCCAGCTGTAATGTCAGTAGTCGTATTTTTGTGATTTTTGGTTTGCTTGTAGGGCGCAGGCACGCACATTCATTGACCCAGAAAATTTGGCACTGCTGTGAATAGTTTAGTCGCAAAGTGAAGATTCACGGGTCAAAAGCCCCAAACTTGGAGATAGGGTATTATTCAGCTTTCAGCAGCCGTGGGCGAGTTCTTTAGAGAAATGTGGGTCTTTTTCTGGGTGCCCTTGTCTATGTCCAGCTACACAACGAGATGAGGATGGTCATTGTCATTTTCTGAGCTGCGAACGGGCAGAAAGGTGAGAACATGTCGGATTTTGACCATTTGTGGTCACCTTTCAATTTCAACGTACCTCTCTATAACATGACCCAGCTGTAATGTCAGTAGTCGCATTTTTTTGATTTTTGGTTTGCTTGTAGGGCGCAGGCACCCACATTCAGTGACCCAGAAAATTTGGCACTGCTGTGAATAGTTTAGTCGCAAAGTGAAGATTCACGGGTCAAAAGCCCCAAACTTGGAGATAGGGTATTATTCAGCTTTCAGCAGCCGTGGGCGAGTTCTTTAGAGAAATGTGGGTCTTTTTCTGGGTGCCCTTGTCTATGTCCAGCTACACAACGAGATGAGGATGGTCATTGTCATTTTCTGAGCTGCGAACGGGCAGAAAGATGAGAAATGTCGGATTTTGACCATTTGTGCTCACCTTTCAATTTCAACGTACCTCTCTATAACATGAGCCAGCTGTAATGTCAGTAGTCGCATATGTTTGATTTTTGGTTTGCTTGTAGGGCGCAGGCACCCACATTCAGTGACCCAGAAAATTTGGCACTGCTGTGAATAGTTTAGTCGCAAAGTGGAGATTCACGGGTAAAAAGCCCCAAACTTGGAGATAGGTTATTATTCAGCTTTCAGCAGCCGTGGGCGAGTTCTTTAGAGAAATGTGGGTCTTTTTCTGGGTGCCCTTGTCTATGTCCAGCTACACAACGAGATGCGGATGGGCATTGTCATTTTCTGAGCTGCGAACGGGCATAAAGGTTAGAAAATGTCGGATTTTGACCATTTGTGCTCGCCTTTCAATTTCAACGTACCTCTCTATAAAATGACCCAGCTGTAATGTCAGTAGTCACATTGGTTTGATTTTTTGTTTGCTTGTAGGGCGCAGGCACCCACATTCAGTGACCGAGAAAATTTGGCACTGCTGTGAATAGTTTAGTCGCAAAGTGAAGATTCACGGGTGAAAATCCCCAAACTTGGAGATAGGTTATTATTGAGCTTTCAGCAGCCGTGGGCGAGTTCTTTAGAGAAATGTGGGTCTTTTTCTGGGTGCCCTTGTCTATGTCCAGCTACACAACGAGATGAGGATGGTCATTGTCATTTTCTGAGCTGCGAACGGGCAGAAAGCCGAGAAAATGTCGGATTTTGACCATTTGTGCTCACCTTTCAATTTCAACGTACCTCTCTATAACATGAGCCAGCTGTAATGTCAGTAGTCGCATATGTTTGATTTTTGGTTTGCTTGTAGGGCGCAGGCACCCACATTCAGTGACCCAGAAATTTGGCACTGCTGTGAATAGTTTAGTCGCAAAGTGAAGATTCACGGGTAAAAAGCCCCAAACTTGGAGATAGGTTATTATTCAGCTTTCAGCAGCCGTGGGCGAGTTCTTTAGAGAAATGTGGGTCTTTTTCTGGGTGCCCTTGTCTATGTCCAGCTACACAACGAGATGAGGATGGTCATTGTCATTTTCTGAGCTGCGAACGGGCAGAAAGGTGAGAAAATGTCGGATTTTGACCATTTGTGCTCACCTTTCAATTACCACGTACCTCTCTATAACATGAGCCAGCTGTAATGTCAGTAGTCGCATATGTTTGATTTTTGGTTTGCTTGTAGGGCGCAGGCACCCACATTCAGTGACCGAGAAAATTTGGCACTGCTGTGAATAGTTTAGTCGCAAAGTGAAGATTCACGGGTAAAAAGCCCCAAACTTGGAGATAGGTTATTATTCAGCTTTCAGCAGCCGTGGGCGAGCTCTTTAGAGAAATGTGGGTCTTTTTCTGGGCGCCCTTGTCTATCTCCAGCTACACAACGATATGAGGATGGTCATTGTCGTTTTCTGAGCTGCGAACGGGCAGAAAGGTGAGAAAATGTCGGATTTTGACCATTTGTGGTCACCTTTCAATTTCAACGTACCTCTCTATAACATGACCCAGCTGTAATGTCAGTAGTCGCATTTTTTTGATTTTTGGTTTGCTTGTAGGGCGCAGGCACGCACATTCAGTGACCCAGAAAATTTGGCACTGCTGTGAATAGTTTAGTCGCAAAGTGAAGATTCACGGGTCAAAAGCCCCAAACTTGGAGATAGGGTATTATTCAGCTTTCAGCAGCCGTGGGCGAGTTCTTTAGAGAAATGTGGGTCTTTTTCTGGGTGCCCTTGTCTATGTCCAGCTACACAACGAGATGAGGATGGTCATTGTCATTTTCTGAGCTGCGAACGGGCAGAAAGGTGAGAAAATGTCGGATTTTGACCATTTGTGGTCACCTTTCAATTTCAACGTACCTCTCTATAACATGACCCAGCTGTAATGTCAGTAGTCGCATTTGTTTGATTTTTGGTTTGCTTGTAGGGCGCAGGCACGCACATTCAGTGACCCAGAAAATTTGGCACTGCTGTGAATAGTTTAGTCGCAAAGTGAAGATTCACGGGTCAAAAGCCCCAAACTTGGAGATAGGGTATTATTCAGCTTTCAGCAGCCGTGGGCGAGTTCTTTAGAGAAATGTGGGTCTTTTTCTGGGTGCCCTTGTCTATGTCCAGCTACACAACGAGATGAGGATGGTCATTGTCATTTTCTGAGCTGCGAACGGGCAGAAAGGTGAGAAAATGTCGGATTTTGACCATTTGTGGTCACCTTTCAATTTCAACGTACCTCTCTATAACATGAGCCAGCTGTAATGTCAGTAGTCGCATATGTTTGATTTTTGGTTTGCTTGTAGGGCGCAGGCACCCACATTCAGTGACCCAGAAAATTTGGCACTGCTGTGAATAGTTTAGTCGCAAAGTGGAGATTCACGGGTAAAAAGCCCCAAACTTGGAGATAGGTTATTATTCAGCTTTCAGCAGCCGTGGGCGAGTTCTTTAGAGAAATGTGGGTCTTTTTCTGGGTGCCTTTGTCTATGTCCAGCTACACAACGAGATGCGGATGGGCATTGTCATTTTCTGAGCTGCGAACGGGCAGAAAGGT